CAGTGGCATTCATAAATCAAGATGACCTGATGACTACAGAAGAGTAAAACATAAAAAACAAGCCTTTGCTATATGAAAAAAATATTTTTCTTTTTATTTTGTAAAAAGAATACGTAATCATTTGGGTCTGGTTGTACTTGGCAATTATTACTGTTATTTTATTTTTCTTGAGCACATTTTCAATAGAAAATGTATAATTTCAAGCATTTCTTCAGAAGCAGACTTCAGACATGACTTTGAACAAAGAGCATCTGCTTTCTGATCAGCTGTGGTCATGGAACATCATGGCCAAAAGCTATGTGTAAACTTCTTAAGGTGTGCTTGTTTTTTAAGCATTTTCTCAACAGTACTAATTATGACCTTAATTCGTGTGGGTATATATTTTTCCTCACACTGAACAAGAGCTTTGAAAAAGCTTAGAGTCTTAATTGTTCTATTAACATGCTAACATGATTCAGTTCAAAGGCTCTGCTTGAAGATTATATTTTTCATGTAAAGGGTAAGGTTGGGCCTTGGTTATTTTTGTAGTTCTATAACAAATAACTAAGTTCTTTTCTTAACTTTAACTCGTCTTTTGAATGGATAAGGTTTTTTTCTTCAATGAGCAGGAGCAGCTTTGGTACTTGTTATTGATATGTCTTTTATTAGTGAAGCGAAGTTTGAGTTACACAATATGCAGGGGGAATAGAAAAAAGAAGGCAGCCCATCCTTGTGGAAAAAAAGTCATTCAGCTGCTGAAGTATTATTTGGAGAAAAAAAAAAAACAGTATCTCAGTGTTAAGAAACAGACAACATTCATTTGTATTCCTGCTAGTCACAAATAACACAAAAGGTAGCCAATGAAAATAATGATATGATTTATCTTGTTGTATGTTTATTACACTTAGAGTAAACACGTGTTATTACCAGCTTTCACCATCTCTTGTAATAAATTTGCATTTTAAGAGGACAGAGTATGTAGAAAGTCAAGGAGTGAGCTGTTTAGAGTAACACTTCAGCATCACTGTTTCACACAAGCAAATGAGGACTGACAACCTCTAAGTGCAGTCCGTGCTTTACTGAAGAAAAATATAGGCCATGGTAAACAAAATAAATTCCAGCGTGCGGGGCCTAATGAAAAAAAAAATCCTCTTGAGAGGCAAGATCACTGTGCACCACCACAGGAGGGTTGCTGTCTGCTCCCCTGCCGGCGCTGGAGCCGCTGGACTCTCTCCATCTCCTGGGTTCCCCTCGGTGTGTCTGGAATCAGGCTGCACAGCTCCTAGGTGCTTACAGGGAAACCCGCTCCACCCTGTCATCCTGCTTACCTTAGAGTGTCAGCACTGGGCAGAATCTAAGCAGAGTTTTATAGCTCTCTTCCAACATACAGGGACAAGGGGACAGATTATAGTAATTTTTCCTGATTGGCAAATGAAAGGCAAGGGAGGAGTAGTTTCGTTAAATTGCTCCCTAGGCGGCCAGTAGCTGCTGTAAGGAGCAGTCCTGTTTTCCCTTCCTTCTTCCTCTGAGTTCCTACCCACTCTTGATCATCAGTTACAGAAGGTGTGACTGCACGAGCTGGATCAGCTAGCAAATTCACCCAGAGTTGTGTGATTTGAAGACATTTTTCCCCCTTAAGGAATAGGGCTGGTGGCAGGCAAAACCATCGTTTAAATTTTCCTTCCAACATCTCAGTATAACAAAATGTGAAAATGTTTCTTGGTTAAGCAGAATATTTATGAACAAATTAATAGTATGACTTTAAATATATTCAAATACATAACTGTTGAAATATATTAAAATATATTTAAACAGTAGACTTTTTTTTTTTTTAAAAGTTGCCTGTTGATTATATGTACATCAGGAATGATACTTTTCTTCCCTGTCTCAAATCCCTACTAGAGACCCGCTTGAAAGTAGCTCAACTTCTAACTAACCACACATTTGTATGCCCAGCTGCAGAGGTAGGACAAAATCGAGGTTGAATAGCACTGAACCCTTGTAAACTTGTATCTCACAAATCACACTGAGATTTTTTTTTTTCTATGCACTTTCTTTTGCCTTTATCTAGTGACTTAAATGTGATTTGGAAGCCTTTAGCATTTTTTAAAATGCTGGTTAAGAAATTGTATAAAAGCTGATGAGTTTTCTTAATTGTTTACCACAGCACCTGTAATTTAGCATGATAATTCTTCAGTGCTGATTAACAGTCCCTACAAAATTGCTGTATGTGTTCAGGAACAGGTTTATAACTGCTGCAAGAACTATATTCAGAACTTCTAGGGTGTTCACACTCTTGGTAACATGGCAGTACTTTTTTAATGCTTATCTTTATTTTGTTTTATTCATAATAATGATGTCTGAGCAAATGTCAGATGGAAGAGATCTCTTAAAGCTAGGTTCCAGACGCTGAATTTTAATGTTTACCTTACAATCTCCAGCATAGTTAAAGCAAACAATTTCTCCAGTGTCTGAAGGTGCAAATGTTAAAGTTAGCCAGCTTCAGTTTTGTCTGTAACACACTGCAATGCACAACCCATAACTGTAGGCAATACTTACTTGTTTTATTTAGCTTGACAGAAACAGTAAACCAGACTATCATAAATACTAATTCATCTAAGTAGAAACTGCTGGAGGTAATATATTTGAATTTCTATTTACCTTTCTGTCCAGTGAAAGGCATGTATTTATTTAGAAATGTATTCCCACAAAAAAAAAACCAAACCACAGATTCTTGCCATAATTGTTCCAAGGATGTGTTTTGTAAATCATACAGATCCTTAGAGTTGAACTGAGAGCTCTAATGCTGAGGCAGATAGATGGAGTCAAGAATGCCAAGACAGGAACTGGGAAGCTGTGCTGGCCTGTCTCTCTCCTGGTCTCAGTTGAGAAACTCACAACAGGAGAGCTGAGATCATGAAATGTGTGATTCCAAGTCGTAACTTCCACTTAGGCCATCGTAATCTATCTGCTTCTACAGTTTGGTCACCGTGTTGTGGGTTCCTTATTCACTAGCTGAAAGACACTAAAAATAAAATAGTTATTGGGCTTGAGGAAGGGCAACAGATGAGACAGAATTCATTCCTTTTGCCAGGTTTTGTTTCAACCTGAGATGCTACTCCAGATGGTAAGGAAGGACTCCTGGCACAGCCTGACTTCTGTGGCATAGCTGGCAGTCAGGCTCCTTGCAGAAGGAGATGTATGTGCTCCCTCCCTGGAGGTGGGAGCCCAGCATATCTGGCGCTGTGCATGGGACTCTGACACAGGAATTCCACCATACCAACTTGCAGGCTCTCCACAGTGCGTAGGCAAGCTCCTTCTCATGATCTTGTATCCCCCAGCTCTGCCATACTAAGGACAGTTAAAAAGGGTATATTTGACCCAGTAGAATGCCTTAAGAAAAAAAAATCTCTCACTGAAAGATTTCTAAGGTTAAACAACAGCATTCAAGGCATATACTTCAGGGAGTAGGGTATTAAAAACCATATCAGAGTTAACAATACTATGTGAAAAGCAGAAAACAGAAATACTTAGCAGGTAGGTGGAGAAACTTGTGTCATGGCTTTTGTATCACAGACTATTTAAAAGCTACATACAGTGAGTGTTTCTAAGATCAACCATAAATATACTCTTTAGCTTTTAAAAGCACCTTAGGAGCCGTGAAGACTGTGCTTTTGACTTCTGTATTTATTCATTGTTTTAAATCAAAATGCATCAGTTTGCTCTCCTGTCACATCATGTCATGACTTTTACAGCAGTCAGCACGGATGGCTCCGTGTTTCTGTACAACAGCTGAAGAAAATGTCAAGTGCACAGAAATGCACTGCTCTCCTCTTACAAATCAGCTTATCATGTAAATGGTGAAATAGAGAACTTTGACCCTGTTCTACTAGAATGTAAGACAATGGATTAACACTCCAGACTTCTAATTAATCACAATGTCTCATCCTCTTGATTGTAGCTTAGTAGGCCATTCTTCTAACTTAAACCAACAGCTGTCCTGTATTAACACTCCCCCATCAGTACTGCTGCTTGTGCAGCTCACAGCCTACATGACAGTGATGCAATTCAGAATGTTTCAAAAGTAGGTTTCAGAAATATTCAGAAACTTGCTTGTACGTGAACTATACTTTTATTGTGTGAATACTTAAAAATCCCCACAGAACGAACTCAAATTCTAAGAACTGAGCGATACTCTGCACTGCTTACGCTGTTTTCTCATGCAAAAAGAATACAGTACGGATTACAGTTCCTTTCTTCTAGAACATGCACAAAGTATCTAATACAAAGGAATGACAATTGTCATCAAAATGGTACAGCTTCAGTGAAATGTGAACTCCAAAATTTGTTACGCACATACCAAATTTATTTTAAGATGATACAGGCTAATCTAAGTCTAGTATCACTTCTCAGGAAAAATTTGTGTATCTCTGAACTTCTACAATAATAAGCAGATATCTATTTGAACTACTTAATTTTTATTCCAACTATTAGACCATGTCTTAAGAGGAATACTGCAAATAAACTGAAGCCACTGAGTCAGCAGACACTATGCTGACCCCATAAAATATTTCTGTAAAATCATTTCTCTTCTCAGTTCTCAGGCATCTGAAATTCAAACCAAACTGAACTTTTCTCACTATTGAAAGCCAAACAAAGACATTCTCTCCAGAGAAAGACATGGAATGTCACTTTCAAGAACTATATTAAGGCAGTGTGCTACTGCTACAGGGTGCACACAAAACACAACAGGAAAATAGCTAACAGAGAAATTTCAGTGATGGAAGAAGTGTACTAGTATGTATTCAGACAAAAGAACAAGATTGAAATTTAATCTAAGATCTACAGACTCTAAACAAACTCAGTATAATATGCTTTCATTATTCACAAAAGGTTATTTCCTTTTTCCATCCACACTACAGATAAACAACAATGGACTCTCCAAATGAATTATCAATTCAATAGATAATTCAATTATCTATAAAACTGTGGAAAAATAACAAAACTGAAGACTAACTGACTTTGTTACATAGGGTTACTGGCTGCTGGTCAGTAGGGATGGTAACGAGGCCCTGCGCTGTAGGAGTTGTAGCCGTATTGTCCGTAGTGGGAGGAGTAGGATTGTCCTTGTCTGTGCTGCTGGTAGTTATTGCCCCAGCTTCTCTCTGGCCTCTGATTAGACCGATAGTCGCCTTGCCAGTTGTATCTGTCCCCTCTAAAATGTCTACCATCTTGAAACCTGCAAGCAAAATACATGTCAAAGATTGACACAAACTGTGTTTTAAAAAAGATGAGTGATAATGAACTCTTACACTTTATGGTTTTTATGAAAACTGTCATGTAACTGTTCTTACACTCAATTACTTATCCGTTTTTATAACAGACTGGTGAAAACATATCTACAGCCATCTGAGATCACTCAATTTACTACTAGTCCCCAATATCCTGTTTACCAAGCAATGGAAGGACAGTCTGTTTCCTAACACAAAGTATTCACAGGCATCAGGTGAACTGCTCAAACTTTGAATAGAGACTAAAACAGGCCATATAGCTAAAACCAACTGGAAGAAGATACATCCATAGCTGTATCAAAGCCTGGTTCAATCTAGTAGCCTCATGGTTGAAAGCAGGCTGAAGCACAGTTTAGCTGCCTAACACTATAGAGTCCTGGAATGGGCATGTTCCCTAAAATGCATGCTGCCACTGCTTCATGGTCTCTTGTTGATTCCAGTACTCAAAAGTGTATGTTAGTGGTGGTATTTAGCCATTGTTCAGTCCAAATTTGGGCTTCTCTGCTGTATCTTTGTTCCTATCAATACTTGAGCTGCATCACAGTCACTTTCTTTGGATATCTCCGTGGTATGGTGTAGACAAAAAAACATTTACACGAGGTTCGCTTTATGACTAGAGTGTAGCTGCAAGAGTTGATTAGTCCAAAGAACCACAAAGTTTTCTAAGAACATCTCCTTAAACACACACTTTTTTTTTTTATTTTGTAGAAACTGAATCTATTTCTGTCTCTAATGACAAGGCCCTAGTTGAGAAAAAGTTAGAATGTTGTCGTTCTTTTCTTCAGATAAAGTACAAATCCTATTTAGATATTTAGCTAAGAAGTGTCCCCAGTTGTTAGTTGGACTGGAGTTTAACTACTTTATACTAAAGGCTGGCATTAGTATTATCAAACATACTATATGCTATAATCACAATTTTTCAGTCACACAGAAATCGGATGTTACTGTTCAGAATTACAGAAAAAAAATTTGCAGTTACATCCTGAAGAAATAATTCAAAACACTTTGCAGTAGGCAGGTAACATTGCACTTGCTAGACAGATTGGATGATGTGTTTTACAGTCATTTCTACTAGATAAAAGGAATACAGGCTAATCTAACAAAATTCAGCAAATATTTAGGTTACAAATGAAATATTTTTCTGGATAATCACACTATTAGTCTGTTTCTTCAGACATTTTCTTGCCAGTTGTTATCCAACAGAAGACAGGCTGCTTAGTTTTGCAGAACTCTCATCTTTTCCCTCTGGAAAAATGTTCTTGCCTGATCAGTAACAAACCCCAAGGCAGTGGGTGGTTCCAGCTCATTCCTTACTAGAAAGCAAATTACTTAATACTTTTATACAGAATGCAAAAACTTTGACTATCAGTACAGAGAAAATGTAAAACCTCGTTACTTTTCAGAGAAGACTATTTCTCTTAAACAGTAACCTATGAAGTACCAGGAAGATGCTTGTTAACAGAACAAATTCTTATCTTTCTTCTAAAACAAATGATCGTTTAACAATGTATTTGTGACACAAGATTAAAAAAAAACAAAAAAAACAAAAACCACCACAAACCCAAACCAGAAAAAAATCAGTACCGATCTCGGTTTCTCTGGTTGCCACCGGATCTGTTTCTCCATTCTTCAACTATGGGTGGGGGATCTGCAGGGCGTTTCAGGTACTCTTGGTATTCTTCATCCTCTGATGTGAATCGATGAGCAAACATCTCTTCATAATTCAGGGGCACATCAGCCAAGGAAGTCATGCTGAAAACTTGGAACATAAACACAAGGAAAGCGGCTTTAGCAATGTATGAATCTATTGTAATATTGTATCGAAATCCACTTGGGGCCAACCAAGGGCAAAGAAAAGTTAGACTCGGGCTAAGACAGCAGCTAGGTTTTGGGCAGACAGCATACAGGACTGACTCTTGACGATCTAAGACTGTAAGTAACTCCCCTGAATAGGTTACCTCTGATGGAAAGGAATTCCAATTTCATGTGCAGTCTCTGGACACCTACGTTGGATATGCAGACACTGCTCTGTCTACACATTGGGAATGGTTTTAAGGAACTCCATCAACATAGGAGAAATTAAACTCAGATTAATAGCTAATATAGTCAGCCATTATATAGCAGCATCTTTCAATCAATTTTGATAGACCTAGATTAGATGAGTCCTGGCAGAAAGATAAGGGATATTTCAGAAGGTTAGTAATAGAAAAAAGTGTTTGTTCCAAATGCAGTCCCAATCTACTCCTAATCCATTTTTGACAGGAAAAACATTACTGTAGTCAACTTGTAAAGTTTGCTAAGGTACAATATCATGCAAAGCCTATAGATACACATAGCCAGCAAAGCAAAATAATCAGATTTATTCAGAATAATTTGTGTTAATAACTGGATTCAAAGAAAGGACAGCACCTAAAAGGATGTAAAATTACCTCAAAATATGCCTCTCTGAGGGGATTTGTGTTTAAGGCCTTAGCTTCCTTATTCACCTGGCTATATATGCATTCCCCCATCAGATGTTGGTGCCACCTTGAATTGTCTACCAGTAAAAGTCTGGTCTACACAGTAGATGCTGAGAAAGGCTCTATGCCACCTCTTTTAACAAGCCCTGGGTAATTTAGAGCATTAAAGGTCTTTGCCTCTAGACTTCCATATTAAGCTCTTCTTCTGTATCCTGAAGATTTCCAGGCAGGACCAATATTCAACTTGCAAACCAGAGGAAAGGATGGAGCAGACCCTGAGAGCTAAAACATATACCTTCAATGAGCATGACCAAGCCCGGTCCTCCCTGTACCCGTGAGACAGGTAAGTGGGATGTTTTTGGGTAACAGAGCACAGTACTCTTCCGTAGACTGAGCTCCCCTTTCATGAGCTTCAGAAAGTTCAGTGTGGTGATCTCCAAGCCCACCTGCAGCCCTCCCCTTTCCACCCAATGGCGCGGTGTCAATTTCTGAAGCAGATGCAGGAGTTACTCCTGCAGCATGTCCACCGACTTCACCATCCTCTTTTTTTTTTGCAACGAGCTAACCTCGTTAGTTTTCACTAGGAGCCGCCCTCACGTAGCTTGGCCCCTCGGGGGCTACCTCAGCCGGGGCAGGGGGGTCCCGTTGCCCTGGGCACCCACCCCACACCCCCACAGCCTTCTCCAAAGGGCAGCGACAGCCGCTCTCCTCACGGTTAATAATATTAAGGTTAGCATTCACCCCGCGGAGCCCGGTAACGAGGGAGCCCCGTCACCTTGGCCCGACAAACGCTGCTTTGAGCAACGAAGGGTCGCTCCCCTCGGGCGGGCTCACG